AAACGTTATCAACGCTGTCAAAAACAGTAGCATTTAACACTACTGCACACAGATCTGTAGAACAAGTAGGTTACAGAATGAAATGAAATACGCAAAAACTAGCCATGAAGAAGTCTATGCTATGTCATTCAGTATAGTTACATTTTCACAAATCATGCTATAAACTTTAATAAGAGCACTAGACAAAGTTATTGTAGTTATGTATTGTTGCAATAAACTGATCAAATTATCCACCCTTAAATATTGTAAAGTATTTACAAATTTTGATGCAATCAATAGGGTATGGTTTCAAAATAATCATTCCTCCGAAACAAAAAAGAGAAAACATCTTTCACAAACATCTACATGTCTGTCTCCTTTAAAGTGTTTATAGTGTATATAATGAGTTGTATTTGTAGGGGTTATTATAGCACAATTCTTTTACACCCCCCCCTCACTAATTTTCAAAGCCTGGGTACGGCCATGTATATGTTATATGCATCATATTTAAGCTTATTTACATAAAGGTGAAACATTTCTTGTTACCTTAACCCTGAATGTGCAGGTGGGTTTTTTTTTGTTTTGTGTTTTTTTGCTCAGAATGGGCTGATGGGAACGCAAGGTCTGCCGCTGTGCTGAACGCGATAAGCCTGACACTAAAAAAAACATCGCCTGAAAAATCGCCTAAACATGAACGCTGACCAGAGAGGCTATTTCTGATTCCGAGAGACTCACCACATGTACAAAAACTTCAGGCCACTGATGTTGTCAAAAGCAGAAGTGAGAAGTTTCAGGGAAAAAAATAAATAATTTGACACTTGACACTTTCCAGAGTTTGCATTATTTGATATGAGACCCAGTTATGTAGAGTAGTAATTATATTAATCGCTATAAAATTATTATACACATAAAGGTTCCAGGTAGAACCTGAAAAAGTATTTAGGCTACACTCTTAAAAATAAAGGTGCCAAAAGGGAAGAACCATTTTGGGTTCCTCAAAGAATCTTTCAGTGAACATTTCTTAAAATAACAGTATTTTTCTTAGTATGAAGAACATTTTAATAATCTAAAGAATCTTTTTTGACTATAAAGAACCTTTTGTGTAATGATGGATGTTAACGGTTTCTATAATGGAACTATCAATGCCAAAGAATCTTTATCTTTAAAGAATCTTTATTTAAGAGGAGAACATTTTAAAGTTCCACAAAAAAACGTATTCATTAGTTTTATGCATATAATGATGCTTTGAAGAACTGAGAAATTAATATAGTGATATGACAGTCTTAAAATTATGATTCTGTATCTAACTTTCTCACCTATTGCATTTCATAATCAGAAAGAGCTTTTTTTGGACATTTGAGTTCAGTTACAGAAGCTTCTAGTATTACATTGAATTACATAAAATAACAATAAAGACTTAATAGCCAGACTTTTAATTATTAAAATAAATTAAATTAAATAAAAAAAAACTAACCCTCTCTAACCTTAAAATAATTCTTTATTTTCTTCCGAAATTATATGGAATATTCAGAATGCCTTTTAAGGCAAGACACTACACTCTTAAAAATAAAGGTGCTTCACGATGCCATAGAAGAACCTTTTTGTCTAAATGGTTCCATAAAGAACCTTTAACATCTGAAGAACCTTTCTGTTTCACAAAAGGTTCTTTGTGTCGAAAGAAGGTTCTTCAGATTATAAAAAGGTAAGAAAGAGATGGTTCTTTAAAGAACCTTTGACTAAATGGTTCTTTGCGGAACCAAAAATGGTTCTTCTATGGCATCGCTTGAAGAACCTTTTGAAGCACCTTTATTTTTAAGAGTGTATAGGCAAAATTTGTCAATTTGGGATTTTGGGTTTTGCTTTGGTATTTTCTGATTTATGGAGTGATAATAAGAGATATCTAAGAAAACCTTTAGTATGTCAACAAAATGAAACAAGAATTTTGAACCTGTCTTTATATAGTGCCTAGTTTTCTCTTCTGGAAATGTATGCAAGTGCATATTCAATTACAAAATTCCTCATTTGCCTCATTTAAATGTAACATTTCTGAATACTTGTAGTACAAAACAGTTGTCTTAATGTACTGTGATTAATCATCTGGGGTGATCTGTTAGTTAAAAGTTAAATTTTTACCCTTGAGCAAGGCACCGAACCCCCAACTGCTCCCCGGGCGCTGCAGCAAAAATGGCTGCCCACTGCTCCGGGTGTGTGTTCACTGCTGTGTGTGTGTTCACTGCTGTGTGGATAAATGCAGAGCACTAATTCCTAGAATGGGTCACCATACTTGGCCACATCACGTCACTTTTTTCACTTTTTTTTCACCTGTGGTGTCTTGCCTTAAAATCAATGTTTATGTTTGTTCCTTCCGGACTGGAGGGAATCTGAACACACTGAGCTTCCTGCAGGAGAGATGCCGAGGGACTCTCAGGTGCATGACACAAAGTTGCTGATTCTTGCATCAGATGACATGCAGATTAAACTCTCAGAGGGGAACTAAAGCCACTGTGTGAGTGAGAGATATTGTTAACCTCTTTACAGCAAGTGAAGTAGATTTCTCTTGTGCATCTCATTGTCACTTTTTTACGGGAAGAAGTCTGTGGGTTCATAAGACTCTGCTAAGATAAATTACAAAAATAGAAACTAGCTAAAATGGCCTCTGTTGAGATGAATGAAGTTCTGTGCCGTGTTTGAAATTGTGAATGTGTTATTAGTTTTATAGTGATTTGAATACATATTTTGAGGTGGTTACATGTTGTAAAAAATAATGATAGTGAATAGAAAAAAGTAAGATATCTTATAGAATAAGATATGTATTTAGAATTTTATGCATTTTGTTCATGCAAATCTGTAATAAAGAAATTATTTTTTTTACGATGAAAACCTATTTTTACTATACTGTATATTTTAACAGTTTACATTTATTTATTTCCCCTTGAAATATGAAGCACATTTGACAGTCCGAAAATTAGGGGTCTGTATACTCCAGTGGATAAAGATTTATAAGAATAATAGAGACTACAAGTTTCATAACTTTTTCCTGACGTTTCTACATATACATTTATTTCTGCCTTTCTATCTAATAATCTTTTTTTAATAAACGTTATTATAAAGTTTTGCTCTGAGACTCTAGCTTTGGACCTTAAAGGTTGAAACTCCTGCCAGCACATAACAAAGTTCTTATATGTTATTATGTTACATTGTAATTAAACAAAATAATACATTTAATAATAATAATAAATTAATTAATGAATTAATAAATGCCTTTCTAACTCAGAATATTAAGGCTTTTTCAGTTCAGTTTCTTCAGTTCATCCTGGATTAATATTGTCGTGTCTCTGTTGCGTAATTAATTTTAATAGGTGACTCAAACTGGTTTAATAACTTCATCACGGTAATATTCAGCGTTTAATGTGCTTAACATAAAAAGGACAATGTTCTTAATCTTTCTCTTTTCGCTATTTCACTTCAACTACTTCATTAAACTATAACCCTTGTACGCTAAATAATTAAGTGTGTATTTAAAGTATCTGAGGAGATTTTTTTATTCAGGGAATGACAGATAGTAAAAGTAATGGCGTCTTTTGCAGCCAATAAAACTCGACACAGGCGGGAGCAAAACTCTAAAGTAGGCGCTGCTGCTGATGGTGTGAATAGGCGGAAATGATTGGCGTCTCTTTCAGCCAATGGGAACGCCTCAGGGGCGTGGCATTTTCTGCCTGATGCTGCTGCTATAGGAACAGCTGGAGTTGATTGGCGTCGTTTTCAGCCAATGGAAACGCTGAGGGGGCGTGGAGTTCTCCGAGTGATGCTGCTACAGTATGAACAGCTGGAGATGCGCTGATGTCAAAAGCGCCATACGATCACCAGGTGATGTGAACTCAACCAACTCGTCCATTCAGCTGATTCATCTTCTT